GTTGGTTGACTCAGGATGTAAAGTTAATTTGATTTCTGATAAGACTTGGTATAGTTTGAAGAAACAAAATATAAAAGTATCCAATCAAATTCAAAAGCCTAATAAAAGACTAGTACCGTATGGAAGTGAAATACCTTTAAATGTTGCGGGATCATTTGAAGCAATAATAAGTACAGGAATTAAAGAAACAATAAGTACATTTTATGTTATTAACGGAGGAACAAGGGATTTGTTAGGAAAAGATTCAGCTGTGAAGTTAAATGTTTTGAAAATTGGATTGGGCATTAATCAAGTAGAGGCTAAAGAATTTCCAAAATTTAAAAATGTTTTAGTTGAGATTCCTATAGATGATACTATAAAACCTGTGGTTCAACCATACCGCAGGATACCTATACCACTTGAGCAAAAAGTAAATGAAAAAATTCAGGAACTGCTAGACTGGGATATAATCGAAGAAGTGTCACAACCATCAAGATGGGTTTCACCGGTCGTTCCAATTCTTAAAGAGAACGGAGAATTGCGCCTTTGTGTTGACATGAGACGAGCAAATGCCGCTATACTTAGGGAAAATCATCCCTTACCGACCATGGACAATTTACTCCCAAAGATTGGTAATGCTAAGTTCTTTACGAAAATTGATATTAAAAATGCATTTCACCAACTTGAACTGCATCCGGATTCCAGACATATCACTACATTTATAACATCGCGGGGGTTGTTCCAGTACAAGCGTTTGATGTTTGGAATAACGTGCGCCCCAGAAATATTCCAGAAGACCTTGGAAAGGATGATTATTCATTGTGAAGGAGCAGTCAATTTTATTGACGATATACTTATTTATGGAAGTACTGAGACGGAACATGACCGGCGCGTAGAACAAATACTGAAGGTATTAAATGAGAACAACGTGTTGCTAAATGAAAATAAATGTATTAGGAAAGTTCAAGTAGTTAATTTTCTAGGACATGAGTTAAGTGCAAATGGAGTCAAACCATTAAAGAAGTATATAGATAGCATCGACAATTTTGGGATTCCAAAAACGATTGAAGAATTACAGAGCTTTTTGGGTTTAATAAATTATATTAATAAATGGATACCTAACCTAGCAACAACTACAGAACCGTTAAAACAACTATTGCGGAAAAAATTAGGCAAAAATGCTGGGTTAGAGAAATATTGGAAGAAAGAACAGAAAGAAGCTTTTGACTTAGTAAAAAAGGACTTATCACAATTAAAGTCTCTTGGGTACTATAGCGTGAAAGATAAAATACAAGTGATTGCCGATGCCAGTCCGGTGGGCATTGGAGCAGTTTTGGTACAAATAAACTCTAGAGGTCCACGAATTATAGCCTATGGCAATAAAACGTTAACTGATTGCGAGCGAAGGTACAGTCAGACAGAGAAAGAAGCGCTAGCCTTGGTTTGGGCTGTTGAACATTTTAACATCTTCCTATATGGCAAAGAATTTGATCTGATAACCGATCATAAACCCTTAGAGGTTATATTTGGGCCAAGATCTAAACCCTGTGCTCGCGTGGAAAGATGGGTTTTGCGTTTGCAATCATATCGATACAAAATTAAATATCAATCTGGCAAATCAAACATTGCTGATCCACTGTCACGTCTTTGTCATCAAAATGCTACCTCTTATTTAGGAAAGGATCAGCATGTTTACCAAATTGTTGAACAAGCCAGACCAAAGGCTGTTTCCATGTACGATATTGTTGGACATTCGGTTAAGGATTTAGAAATCAAAAACGTGAAGAACGGTATCTATAAAAATATTTGGGATGATAACGTTAAAGCATACAAAATTTTTGAAAGTGAACTATGTTTCTATGATGATGTTCTTTTAAGAGGCAATCGCATAGTGATACCTGTTTCACTACGAAAGGAAGTGTTAGATTCTGCGCACGAAGGGCATCCTGGGATTGCAGCGATGAAAGGTCGACTAAGATCTAAAGTGTGGTGGCCACGAATAGATCGAGACGCGGAAAACGTTGTTAAGGGTTGTAAGGGATGCACCTTAGTAGGTGCACCAAATCCGCCAATGCCAATGAAAAGGCGTGAATTACCTTCAGCACCTTGGGTGGATGTAGCTATTGATCTTTTAGGTCCATTGCCCAGCAATGATTATCTTTTGGTGATTATTGACTACTACAGTCGATACAAAGAAATCAAAATCACAAAATCTATCATGAGTTCGCAGATTATCAAGATCCTTAAAGAAATTTTTAGTAGATTGGGCTATCCTGTCAGCATTACTGCTGATAACGGCCGCCAATTTATCAGCACCGAATTCAGATCATTCTTACAAGAATGTAACATTACCCTTTATAATACAGTTCCCTATTGGCCTCAGCAGAATGGAGAAGTTGAGAGGCAGAATCGCGATATTTTGAAAAGGTTGAAAATAGGACACATAGAAAAGAAGGATCTGAGAGAAAGTCTCTACGAATATCTTCTAATGTATAATGCTACTCCGCATTCAGTTACGGGAAAATCTCCTTCAGAGCTATTCTTCAAGAGACAGTGTCGAGATAAAATTCCATCAATAAGAGAAAGAGAACTTGAAGATGATTCTGAAGTTAGAGATAAAGAGCAGAAGGAGAGAGGAAAGGAATATGGTGATAAGAAAAGGCGTGCAAAAGAAAGTCAACTAGTAGAAGGAGACAAAGTGTACGTCAAAGAAATGGAATCCAATAAATTAAGTTTAAATTACAACCCTACACCACATGTTGTGGAAAATCGTAGTGGTGGAGATGTGACAGTTAGGAATGAAGAGACTGGACAGACATTAAGACGAAACGTAGTACATTTAAAACGAGTTGAAGGCAAATGGACATCAATCACAGATAATGAAAACGAAGATATTGAGAATTTGTAATATTGTTTCACATATACATTGATGTAATTAATAAACAAGTGATTTAAATTAAAACAAAATCTTTTAATATGAAAAGGATGTAGTGTTTGTGGTAGTATCTATATACATATAGATACATGCCGTCTCGTGCGCATGACGCGCGGAGTGGACAGTTATTAGCACGAGAGCCGCGGGCGAGGGTGGACTGTGTCACTGCTGCGCGTGCATGTGTGATCGAGCCGGCGTATGCGTTATAGTATTACATTAGTTTACAGTAAGGGTCCTACAGTCACCAATCTCTTTCATGGGCGTCGTAAGAAGTAACGTGATTTTCCACCTGCATGCCAAACGAGGAACATTTTTAGATGGAGTAGGGCCATAGTCCACCAGTTGATGGATGTATAGTGTTATTTTTTGCTACAGTAAAATCGTTATAAAACTATTTCACTCGTCAACGTTCATACTTTCTAACCGCATAAATTAACAAAAGCGTAACCAAAGACAAAGGCTAATAGAATACAACTAAAATATATCCCAGTCAATACCTAAAGAGCTTATCTAGACACGAACAAAGCTACCGGTTGTCTATCCACTACAGATGTGAATAGCTTCCCGCATCGGCAAAAATAGGTCGTCAGTATCGGAATAAAAATCGTGTACTGTGTAGCCCCACATTTAATGCATACCGAACTTAGATAATGGCTAGGTCCGTATGTAGTTGAGAAATCGGTTCTTTGTTGTTTTAACTAAAAATCACGGGTTATTCACGTGAATATACTGAGAAAAGCTCTACTAGTTTCGAGCCACAGAGGGGCTCTTCCTCATGAGCTGCGTGCGCTGTACTTGGTACATTCACATGAGTAACACGCGATTTTTAGTTAATTTAGTATGTCTCCCGATAATTATTATTTAACATTTTTATCATTACTAAACCGATACCACGAAAATACTCGGTCCAAGGAATGACTGACCCTGTCCTTTAAATGGTAATCTATCTGCATTTCCCAAGCCGTTTGCTGAATGTGGAGTTTATGAGAATCTCCCTCTAAAGAGGAAGGCCAGTGCTCATCAGGGGATATATCTAGCAGATGGTGTTTATCCAGTACCTTAATAAAATGCATTTTGCTACTTACGACCGAATACTTTAGGACTCATTTTAAATTGCACTTAAATATTGTGCGAGTTCCGTCATTTTACAAAGAATTTGTAGTGACTTAGTGAGAACTACACTTAAGCGCGAACTAAAATTGAGTAGTGTTCAGTATGTGGAGGTTACACTATCTTGATATGGAATCTGGAATTATGCCCAATGTTCATCTTACTTCTTACTAATATAATAAATGCTTGACTGCACGGTTGGCGCGGTGGCTGGTCCCTCTGGCTGCCGCGCATCGAACTAACTCTTACGGAACGGACGGAATAACTCTTTCGTGTGATCCACAGATTGTTGTTCCGGGTCTGGGTGTCATGTGTATGTGAACTTGTATGTTTGTAAACGCACCCACGACACCGGAGATAACCCTAGAGTAGGGCAACGATAAAAAAAACAAAATAAAGTTTATGTGTCTGTGTGTTAGTCAGAACGGGTAAAGATATCGGGATGAAATTTTGAAAAGAGGTAGTATAGGCTTCCTTTACCCACTGGAACGCAGGCAAAGCCGCTGGCTGAAGCTAGTACAGTACAGTATATATAGAGTAGTAAGTTAAGTGGCGAAAAATAAAGAATAACAAGGGTGATGTAAGTTAAAGCATGTCCCTCATATCTTTCTCCTTCAGTATTTCGCCAGTAAACAGATAAGGAAATTAGTTTTTCTTTTATATGAGTGTTCTTATTGATGAGATAGTGTTTATATGTGTATGATATACTATTACATTTTTGTCCATTATTCCTAATTGTGGACAAAAAAGATATTATACGTAAATATCATGAAACATCAAGATATAACTGATGATAACACTTTTCAGTTAAGTTAACAAACATGCGTAAAAATGTTATATTACAATTAGTTCGATTCAATAACTTTCTTTTCATGTACGGAACATCTAAATGAATAGAAACTTCGCATGTGCCTACGAACCGTTATTAAAACGGACAGTTTAATTCGAACGTCATTACAGTTTCGACTCTCTCAAAATGAAGTCTGCAGCAATCGATTTGTCCCGACACATTTCGTTACAAATTGGAGCTCTCAAACTGTTCGAAATATGGTTTTACATACCGCACAACATGAAGGATGTCCGATTTTGGGTCTGTATTTGGACGAGAATAGTTTTGGGCATTGCCGTGTTTGTTATACCGACGGGCAGCCAACTTATTTATGCAGTGCGCCTGATAATGTCAGGGAACGCTGAAATACAGGAGGTGGCCGGAATGTGAGTACTGACTTTGTTTAATATGATTCTCCGTGTCCTCGGGTATAATTTGATTTTGCCATTATCTTGCATGATAAGCAGGATACGTACTTAGAAGCGTACGTAAAATATGATTAAAATCTTAATCGAGTTTGTAGCGTGTGTATGCTTGATAATGTTTTTATTTCTTTTGAAAATATAATATAACTTTCATTTCTGGTGAGTTAATCTGTTTATCAAAGTATCTTTAACAAATATTTTTTATCATTAACATTACATTTAGAAGCAACTGTTCAAGTAAAGATTTTAATACGGCTTATAAATTATGGAAGGGACGACTAATCTACTCCATGGACCGCAGTACATCGAGGAGTATATTTTTTCAGATGCTAACCTTCTTTGGGTCCCATAAAATTCCCGTGGAAGGGACGATGAGGGTAAAATACGCCAGTGGTATGACGTACATACTTACGAACATTTATTACTAAGGCTCGCGAGAAGCCTACTTACTTACATGTTACGGAATATCGATACCGTAAAAGGTTACTTAGATACGTCATAGTTATTTTAGCAACAGCGACAATCGATTAGTTTGCGCAATATGTTATTGATGTTATCTATCTCCCAAAATATGCAATGTTAATGACAAATCTGTTGGTCATAAACCCCAACACTATGAATAAAAACTAGCGTGACTGCCTCTAACCTAAACTTCACTATATTATGTTAATACAAAAAAAAATCCAAAGAACTTTTATGGTAATTTTGGACAATCTATTTAGAGATCATTTAACAATTTGTAATGGTTATAATATTTTGATTGAAACAGTTTTGATTACGAAAACGGGGACAAAAGAATTGCTTTGAAAATTGTAAAGAACCCTTCCGTGCTCATAAATTACATTATAACGACACAATAAATCTGCCGGGTACGGGAATCGCGTGTAACATACATGACAAACCTAAATGAAACTGTTTTTTTTAACTTTCATTTCATTTGTTAAGGTCAAATCTTATCAGTGGCCTACTTACATAATATCAGTGAGTTAATGCCCTTGCGGCTGACGACAAGACAATATCTTTGCCAGAAATGTTTTTCGAAGTGAGCGCAAAATTGTTGGTATGTCGCGTGATATGTCCATGTATATGTGAGGGTGTAATGTTATCTAGCAATCCTTTGAAGATACACTGCTGCAATCTGTTTCGAAGTTACAGATAAGACTGTTTTATTCGTCCTATTTAAATGTTAATTGACACCGCTTTCACACTTCGAACAGTTCGTAAAGTTCTACTTAACTAGTTTTAACATAGGTACAAAAAGTTAAATGACTTACTGGGAAACATTGTACCTTTTATAATATAAATTGTGTAATTCAAAGGTTTATCTCGGTATTTAACAATTAGTTCAAGCACTATTTCCAGCTAAACACTAGTCCAATAACGAACTAAAACTGACTAATTAAATATTAAACATTGCAGCATTAACTTAGTATTGACCGAACTGCTGGTCTCCCTGAGGCTCTTAGATTTGAGTTTGCGTCGTCATCTGCTTTCACAACTCGCTGAACAGCTGAAGGGCGAAGAATTCCAGTTTCATTCGCCAGCACAGAAGAGAATATTAGAAAAAGCTGTGGAATCTTCTAGACGATTGTTTTGGATATTGCTCTGTAGCTGTAGTTCTGATGTGCTTGGTTAGTACTTACGAGATAAGATCCTATTTAAAAGAAATACTTAATGAATTTGTTAAGAAGTGAATTTGTAATAAGAAAAGGATCACAACATCGCTTATCACCAGGCAAGATGGTGGTCAAACGTCGACCGTAACGTATCAAGTATAAACAAAGAGAAATGTGGAGTATGATTACAAAACAAAAAAATATATGAATGTTATATTCGATAGTAGTAGTTTTGTGCAATTTCTGTCAACAAATATAGATATGATTATTATCTTATCAAGAACATTCCAAACTAAATGTTTCTTGTTGTCTCTAAATAATCACACTTCTATTTCACGACTGTTTAACCTTGCAAGGGGCGGTTCGTCTGCCTGTATAATTAATTATTTTCTTATGTATACTCGTCGATCTAATTGGCATCTGTATTATTCCAGTACACGTCGTGGTGGTGCCGGCTTTGCATAATTTCCAAACTCTACCTCTAAAGATGGATCTTGTGTACCTAGACGTTGATAAAGAATCGTATTTCAATTATTTATGTGCTTATCAGGTACAGATGAGATGTATAGACTTGTGAGCTTTGTTACCTAGAAGTAATTTGCGAGTTCAATTAGTTTTTGATTAGCCTTTCTTGTTTAAAATTATGTAGACAGAAATGATTTGAAGTAACTAAATCAATTGAACTGGTCAAATAACGACTATTTGATGATCATAGTTCCTTAGAGAATAGGGTAGTTTCCTAAATTTTATTTTAGTGTCCTCTGGTAGATTAGTTTAAAATTTAAATCATTAGACACGTACTTTTTCTTTATTTCTTATCTTTCTTTCTTATCTTTCATTAGACACGACGCCGGGGTCGTGCGGTCCATGGCCCTCTACGGCGCCCCTGTTTGGGCGCCTAACCTGTTGCGGCGTCCCGCTCGGACGCTGCTCATGGCACAGAGGGTCATGGCGATCCGAATGATCCGCGGATACCGCACGATCTCTGGGGAGTCGGCGAACCTCCTTGCCGGATTACCGCCGTGGGATCTGGAGGCGAAGGTGCTCGCGCGCGTGCACAGCATGCGCGCGGAGGCACGTCGCCGGGGCGAAACTCCGCTGCCGCGCCAGATAAGTGCGTGGCGGGATGAGCTCCGGCGCGATCTCATGGCGGAATGGCAGCAACGACTGTCGCAACCGAGGACTGGGCTCGCTGCCATCGCAGCGGTAAGTCCCCTCTTTGAGGAGTGACTTGAGAGACGCTACGGCGTCCTCACCTACCGCCTGACGCAGGTCCTCACCGGACATGGCAGTTTCGAGAGGTACCTGTGTCTGATGGGGCGGGAGGAAACGCCCGGGTGTCATCACTGCGAGGACCGCCCTGAGGACACGGTGGAACACACGGTGGGAGAATGCCCTTCGTGGGCTGAGCACCGCCGTGTCCTCAGGGAAGTGATCGGCGATGGCGACCTCTCGCGTCCGGGCCTAGTGCAGGCCATGATGCGGAGCGAGGGGGATTGGGATGCCGTCTCCTCCTTTTGCGAAGCAGTCATGCTAGCTAAGGAGGAGGCGGGACGCGTGAGGCAGCGAAGCACTGCCTCCTCGCAACCCAGCCATCGCGAAGGACACACCGGGCGTCGGGGATCGCGGGACGATCTCCGGCCACCGTAAGCGCGGGCCTGCGGACGGCGAGCATGGGTGGCTCCCCGTCCGACCAGAAACAGACCCGAGCGTACGGCGCGTCGCGTTCCGCGCGCGCCTCAAAGAGCCATCAGACCACCACAGATGGGGTCCAATAGGGCCGATGCCGATTCGGAGTCGCGGAGAACCTAACGGGTAACCGGGGCTCCGGCTCGACGTGCAGGAGAAGGAACGGGGTGGTTTTTAGTCAGTAAGAGTCTGACACTCCCTCCCGCCTCACCCAGGCGGGGGCAGTCATTCGATGATTTTCCCCCCTTAAAAAAAAAAAAAAAAAAAAAAACTTTTTCTTTTCTCACAAAATTAAATACTTTCGACGATATATTAATTTGTAATATACTTACGTAACGACGTCCCACTGCTAAACTTAACTCCATTTTATCTAAATAATGTAACTTAATACAAGAAAATAAAAAAATACGTGTCTAATATTTTTTCATTGCCTAACTGACGGATTAATTAGATTTTTTATTTTCATACCCTGGCAACTACCCTATTCAATATATTACATAAAATCTTAATCACTTATAATCAAGTATTGCTATTGTTAATTTCAGATATTGTACAAACCTATGATGCTGGCAACATTCACAGCGCTCCAAACATTACCCTGGGCCACCATGACTTGCGCAAGTAAATTAATTTTGCATATATTTAAGCTTTTGTAATGCATAAAATCTGAATAATACCATAAATCTCGTCAAGCACAGAGTCATCTGGGATAAACACATAGCTTAGGGGAGATTTGGACAAGAGGGGTCCATATTTTCAGAAAAAACAATAAAGAACAAAACATTATTCTACGTAAGTAGGAGGATAAACAGGAATTAGGCAAAAAATCATTGAGTATCACTACATGTCGACAAAGTGAAATTCCCAACCGCGCCGCGGGCCACAGAAAAAAAAATTCCTACGAAAAATAAGACAAGAGAGTTTTCGTTCCGTTTTGAATATTAACATCACATGAACTACGTTCAAAGGGCGTTGATTCTGAATAAAAAAAAACTTGTCATGTTTAAGACTTTTTATTAACCGACTTCAAAAAAGGAGGTTCTCAGTTTGACTCGTATTATGTATGTAGGTATGTGTGTTTGCGATTGTCTTAACCGATATTGATGTGGTTTTCAGAAAAGTTTTTTACACTTAGGATAAGATTTTAGTATATGAATTAATCGACTTCAAAAAAAAGGGGACTGAAGTCGGTTTTTTAAACGTATATTATGTAGTCTAACATTTATTTACTTTACAGTCAGCCAATTGGACGTTTTAATTTATAACTTAGAGAACATAAGAGATCTTGTCAAAACTTCTGTGGCTGAAAAGCAGTGCACTGAAAATGAAGCATTCAGAGACATTTTCAAAGACTGCGTTCTCCACCACTGTTCCATAATAAGGTAAGCGAATATTTTCGATACTAACTCACTTTAATAATTCATTCTTTGCTACAAATTACTTCCTCGTATATTATGGTAATGAGTGTGATTTATTTAAATGTAATTCAGTCCGTGTTGTTTTTTTTCCAGATTTGTGAACACAATACAAAATGCGTTCGGCGGACAGTTATCGGCAACATTGTTTTTGAGTACTGGTATTTTGGGAACAACTGCCGTGCAAATATTTTCGGTATGGTTTTATCAAAATGAAGTACTTATCATTTTAAAATATAGTAAAATCATAAAGTTGTTCTTAGAAAGTACTAAAGATTTTGGTTAAAATAAAGGAAAAAAGGCGGACATAGTTTTTTCAAACCACGACTGTAGCAGCTGAGATACTATAAACTTACACGCAGAATACACACACATTGACACGAAGGACATCTGTCGTGTGACGTGGTCCGTCATTACACTTCATATATTACGGTGTTGCAAATACACGCACACGTGAATACACCACTGACATTTTGGTACTTCAATCATTTGTAAGTGACATTACGTATGCATTTTATTCATCGTTCTTGGTTAAAATAATACTTTATACTTTGGAATTGACAAATAGCAGTATTTTTTTTATTTCACATTTTAGATCGAATCTCCCTTGAAGAACTTAACGGAAGTTATATGGGTTCTGGCTTACCTGTCAATTTTCATATGTAACCTATTCATTGATTGTTATTTTGGAAACACTATCACTGTAAAGGTAAGTATTTGATTGACGTTTAAGTTACTACAAAAAAATAACATAACATAACATAACATCACGCCTTTTTATCCCTGAAGGAGTAGGCAGAGGTGTACAATATGCCACTGTACCTCTACAATGTAACACCCACTTTTCACTATTTATGTTATGAGTCCCATGTAATAGGGGGTGAGCCTTTTGCCATGTACCGGGCACAATTCCAGACTCCGTGCTACTACTGAGTTTTTTGTTTAAAAAACCCAATAATATCAGGCCTGGGAATCGAACCCGAGGCCCCTTGCCCGGCAGTTGCACTTGCGACCACTCGGCCAACGAGGCAGTCAATAACAAAACAACAACAAAAAAAATACCAAAAGATGAAAAAGCATTTTGTCGTAGGATCTACAAACACAATTGTGAACACAACTTCATTTCATTTTGATAATCCCCTGGTGAAAAGATTTAATTGTATGATTACTCAGCGGTAGCTACATTTTAAATTAAAAAGCGATATATTACGTTAGATTAATGAACCAGTAGCATAAAACACAAAAGCAAAAACTATAGAATGATCTGCCATCGGTGGTATTTTCGAACCGATAAGACCTTCAAACCTTCAAGAAAAAAGCGTATTCCTTTTTAAAAGGCCGGCGACGCACCTACTGACTCTTCCCGTGTTGCGGGTGTCCATGGGTGGCGCTGATTGGTTACCATCAGGTGATCTGCCTGCTCGTTGGCCTCCTATTCCATAAAAATAGTACTAAATACCTAAAATGTTTAGATGTCTTAGTATTTTCTAAACTACAATCCCAGGTACGAGCCCAACTTCAATGCTTCCAACAAGTTTTTAGGTCAGTTGAATCCTATTTTTGGACCAACACGTACACAACTAACACCAACTCTATAACTACAGCAGTTAGAAATTTTATTCAAGTAAAAGGTTTAATTTAAAATTAAACCTCGATAGTTGTTTTCAACTCGTAGAAATTAAATTAGAAAACGAAATTGGTTTATATTTTCTGTTTAACGTTCAATTTTGTATGATATTTAATTCTTTGGTCGTGTAGTGAATACAATTGCAGGGCAAGTATAGGAGTTCATTATCTATTTTATGTATGTATGTATGTTTAATAATAATAATGAAAATCTTTTTTTTTTCAAAAATACTTGTGGATATTTAATATGTTACAATTAAGAAACTGGTGTCTGTTAAAGGTATAACCTGTGTTACAGATCACCAGGCCCGGGTGACCCCCGGAGACATTGAACAATATAAAGTATTTGCTTAACTAAAGAAAATGGACAACAGTAAAGTTTAACAGTGGGCAGTCGGTAGTTTGTTAGTAAATTTTAAATCAGTTTACATAGTGACCTGTTTCTTTTTGCTAAAACCTGTCCCCTCTTGTTTCAATGTCGTGGTGGCCCGTAAGTTTAAGACGCTCGCTTCTCATCTATGAGAGAACTTGAAACCTACAGATTCGAAACCTACCTACCAACGGCAAGTACCAATGTGACTTTTCCGAGTTATACATATGTACTTTTTTAGATTATCTAGACACCACTGATAAACGGTAAAGGAAAACATGGTGAGGAAACCTGGGCTTATAATTGATAATTTTATTTAAAAGTTTGAAATCGCCAATCCACAAGTATGGTATTAATGTTCAAACCTTCTCTGTGCGAGAAGAGGCCTTTGGCGATTATAGGCTGTTAATGCTAATTCACCTCTTGCTTCTAACTCTCCCTATTTTCTTTCGTCAAATACGAAAACAGGATTTAATGTGTAATAATATAAAGATTTATCTTCTTCCTAGTCGTCTTCTTCATTACTGAAGGTCGTGTCTAGTCTGGTGCACGCGTCACTTGATGCACAACCCTCCTCCAAACGCCCCTGTCCTCTGCGGTCTTTATGGCTTGTGGAACTGTCAGGCCGGTTAGGTTTTTTACAGCATCCAACCACCGGGTAGGTGAGCGACCGCGAGGTCTTTTCCCGTTAACCCGACCAACAACCACAAGCTTCTCCAGATTGTTGGGGTCTCTACGCGCAATGTGGCCAAAATAAGTTAATATTCGCTGCAGGCATACAGTGGACAGCCTCGTAGTAATTCCGATCTCCTTGAGAATGGAGACGTTGGTGCGACGAGCGGTCCAGGGAATACGGAGCATACGTCTCCAGCACCACATTTCGAAGGCGTCAATTTTTGCTCTCTCAGTTTTCCTTAGGGTCCAGGATTCGGCGCCATACAAGAAAATGGAGAAAACCAACGCACGCATCAGCCTCACTTTGGTCTTGCGACATATATTTCGGTCCTTCCATATCTTGGTGAGTTTCGTCATTGCTGATTTGGACATCTGGATTCTCCTTCTGATCTCTCCGTCGCTGCCACCCCCACCATCGATAAGAGAGCCCAGATAAATAAACCGATCCACAAACAGCAAGTCTCTGAGTTCATGTGAGCGAGTGCATGTCCCCATTCTGTCCACAACGAGCACCTTGGTCTTGTTTTTATTTATGGTGAGACCAACCAGTTCGCTCTCCTTCTCTACTCTTGCAATCAACTCAGCCATCTCGCTCTCGGACGATGCAAACAAGGTAGTATCGTCCGCATACCTTAGATTGCTGATTCTCCTGCCACCAACAGACAGCCCACGCTCCCACCCCTCCAGAGCTCGTCTCATTATGTATTCCCCATATATATTAAAGAGAATGGGAGACAGGATACAGCCCTGCCGGACTCCCCTCCGAGGCCTAAATGGATGCGACAGGACGCTGTTTACTTTCACCACGGTGCTTCCATCCCTGTAAAGATTAGCAATGAGAGCCACAAGGTGTTTCGGTACTCCCATTTCCCCCAGGATTTTCCATAAAGATAAAAAATAAAGATTTATATTTCTACTTTAATGTCATATTAAAATATTTTCTACACCTTTTTCTTTTATTTCTTAACAACAAACACCACAAAATCAAAACATTTACTCTATGTTTTTCTAACTTAAAATTGTACTGACAGTATCGAATAAAAAGCCGAGAGTGGGGTTCATCACACCTCGACCCTTGTTAGAGGCACGTGCCAAGCCAATTCAGTTATCCATCCTAAACACTTGCCTGACCTTAAGTTAAGCTCCACGCTTTACCCCAGGGTATCCTTACCGGTTGCTTGTTCTCTTCCAATAGAAATTTCTAATAGGATAAGCATAATATTAATATCAATGACAGTTTTAAAGTGGGAAGGTATTAAAACTTGGTTTAGTTTTGGCTCAGAAAAATAGTTTTTTTTTTTAGTTTCACCTTTATTTGTTTACCTCAAATGCGTTTATTTTTTTCTATTATTTAGTTAAAAGTTTCACCTTTAAATCTTTAAAGGGCAGAAGTTTATGTATTCTACATCATATCCACTTTTCACTAACTATAATGTGTTATGAATCTCATTTTCGTGAGACACAGTTAGTACACCTATTGCATTCAAAGAAAATTCCAAATTCCGTGCTTTTATTATACTAATCGCTCACCACCAGGTCAAATAGTGACAAAACGTCTACAAGTATAAAAATAGTTTTTTTACTTAAAGCCTCTTATTATTTTTTCTCATTTCTAGAGTATGCACGTCTCAACGGTAATATTTTCTTGTCCCTGGATTGAGTTACCAACAACTGTAAAGAAGAATCTGGTTATCTTCATAGCAAAGACTCAGAGACCGCTTGTCATAACTGCGGCGAAGCTCGTCCCTGTGTCCCTGGAGACCTTTACCAAGGTAAATACGTTAATTTGTATTTATTGATCTGTTTGTATGGATAGTAAGATATATTATATATACTCGTTTTTCATAGAAGAGGTAAGTAAAGATATGTTACTTACATCTTACCATTTCAATCAAGTGTTAAAGGTTTTATAGTGAAAGAAGATAAGATGTTTTGTTTTTGATGGATTGTTCTTCTTTTATTTTATCATACAGCTTGTTTCAACTTTACCCAACCTTTGATCAAGGAAATAGATTAACCAATAATAAGAACTTTATCACAGAATTTCTACCAAAAAGTAGGTCTATAATTATACAACTAACGATTGTATATAAAAAGGAAAATTGTAAGGATTATTATCGTTAAGGATTACATCGTTCGTCGCGGTCAGTCATTACGTTCGTAGTTCGACAAAAAATATTGTCCTTGATCAGTCGACTTCACTTTCACAATATGGACAACGCCGGCGTGAGACACGTGTATCCGGAAGAATTGGGTCAGAATTTAATGCGGAAATAAATACATTGTAAATATTTAAATGCAAAATATTTAAATAGGACCTAATGCAGTTGTTTACCTATCAATTTGTTCGGATACTACTGTCTCACTGTTTTTGTTGTATAGGCCACTTCTCTTTATAGAAAAAATGAGAAGAATGCGTTGTAAACAGTAAGTTTGTGTATTGATAAAATTAATCTACACGAATAGTAACTTACCTATTCAAAATATAAATAAGACCTCAACCGAACGAATGATATTATGGCTGATTACATAGCTATTTTGTTTGTTTATTTAAATTCATTGGCAAATAACATGAAGCGACGAGCAGACGCGACTTTTTGCCCAAAAAATAGTTTATTGTTAAATGTATTGTGAATTTTATTGAAGAAAATACTCAGCCTCACTGGGCTTTGAAACAACATAATCCTTTAAAAACAAGTATCAATTTTTTTACTTGAACAAACAAATTTCGTACACAAAAATAATACTACAAAATGAAATAACATTTCTTTGTATGTCCATTTTTTTTTCTTAATCCAATAAATGCCAAAAGAGAGGTGGGCAGTAGAAAAAGGACCGGGGCGCTTTGAAACAGTGAAAACGTCGGAAAGGTAGGCTGTCGAATGCAGGGAACTATATGTATTTTCACTTTTACAGGAAAAAATGTACAATTTTCCTTTGCTGAAAAATATGAATTATTTAGTTAATAAATGGGTCCGACTGTCAGACAAGGGATCTCGGGTACGATTCCCGAGTCGGGCAAAGCATTACTGAGTTATTTAAAATAATTTTCAGTAGTAACACATAGTCTAGAATTGGGCCCGGTATATGGCAATAGCCTAAAACCATAACATAAATAGTGAAAAGTAAGTGTTACATTGCAGTGGCATTAAGTGTCGTAATGAGTACTTCTGCATACCTCTTCGGGGATAAAAGGCGTGATCTTGTTTATATAAATGGGTCAGTTACAGTAGTGGGGAATTTAGCATATTTTTTATTAAGAACAAATTGAAGACTCATGTTCGATAAATAAATTTGGAGTGCAAACCGTGACAGTCTTCTGGTAGTCTATGAGCTTCGTCTATGAAAGAATCATAATATCCAAGTTTCGCAGAAGGGTCAGAAAATGGTGATTAATCAGAATAAGACCCAAGTTATTGAAAGAGTGACTCTGTTAAAAGTAGCTCTAGTTAGTCTACGATACCCCCTCCAAGATTAGCAGTGGTAACAAAATATTCTCCTCTAGTGTATCAACTTTTGTATTTCAAATGCTGTAACATGTTTATTCTAGTTATATTACAATTTACAATGATAGAACCTACATTTATAACTTGGACCGTACATAATAGTACAGATAGCACTCAGGGGCGACCAACTAACAAGTTTTATCATATTTAATATGAGTATTTAGTTTACGAAGTTATTATTACTTTATAGTTGAATTTGAGTTCAAAGTTTGTTTAACTCGCGTGAATACTTGCTTCGAAATATTTACGAATGGTAGTAAATTATGTATAGATATTATGTAGAGATGCTATGTAATAAATCAGATTGTGAACTGAAAAATATACTATAGTACGATCTGATTGTTTTCAAATGTTGGAGAGCCATGCTTCGGCACGAATGGGCCGGCTCGACCGGAGCGATACCACGGCCTCACAGAAAACCGACGTGAAACAACGCTTGCGTTGTGTTTCGTCGTGTGAGTGAGGTTACCGGAGGCCCAATTACCCCCTTCCTAGTCTTCCGAATCCTCCACAATCCTCAAATTCCAAAGGCCGGTAACGCACTTGTAACGCCTTGTTGTTTCGTGTGTCCATGAGCGGCGCCGATTGCTTACCATCAGGTGATCCGTCTGCTTTTTTACCGGCTTATGCTATAAAAAATCTGCCTTAGCCTTTTATTATCTACCATGTAAAGGATTAAAAAAGTTTGCACTATGCACCAACTCTATGATGTAAGTTTAAAGTTCGTTCACATAATTTCAAGCTCTGATCCATTGAAGTAAGATCTCTATTTAATGTCTATAAAAATATTTTTGACCTACACAAAGTAAGCGAACTAAGCGAGTTCTAAAAATATCGCACTCAATCAAATATGATTAAAATCTATCCAAAAATAGATATTTCAAATTCTGTGTATCTTACCAAGTATTATATGAAGTACCAAACGCCCTAAGTTAAGAATTCATAGTACTGCTTCGTAGACAATCATTATTCATAGTCGTTTATCATATTTTTTGTCCTCAAATATTTGGGATCACTTCCAAGATATTCCCTATTGTCATTGTACAATTCAAAGATAAGTCCCGGGTGTATTAATTTTATTGTATGAAAATACTTATTCATTTTCCACAGTATTTCCATTAATAAATATTTGTGCTAGGGAATAGTAAATGTTGAATGAGGAAACAATCATCATCAACAGCCTATAAATGCTCACTGCTGAGCAAAGCCTCTTCTCACACTGAGAAGGTTTGAGCATTAATCACCACGCTTGTTCAACGCGGTTTGGCGATTACAGACTTATAATTAGAAATTATAAGCCCAGGTTTCCTCACGATGTTTTTCCTTCACCGTTCGTCAGTGGTGTTTAGATAATATTAGAAAGTACATATAACTCGGAAAAAGTCACATTGGTACTTGCCGTTGGTAGGTTTTGAACCCGCACCCTCATGCATAAGAAGCGGGCGTCTTAAACCTCCGGGCCACCAGGACTCCTTTGGAACACTCCACGAATGAGGAAACAATAAGTACTACTTTTCTTCGAAAAAGTACTGGAAATAACTACATTGTAACAATATTACATTATATGGGTACAATGGGTAAATCAGATTTGTTTATATCAAAACATATTTGTTAATATCAATTGTTGATATCAAAAAAGATAAATAAACGACGAAAACAAAATTCACTTGTTGCGTGAAAATCTGACGAAACGAATTTTCGTATTTTCACCGATTTTTAGCAGAATCCTATAACTGATTCGATGAAACTTTTGTACCTACACACGTAGACATAGCTAACTGCTACCATTTTCACCAAAACTTCAAAAGAGAAATTCTACTAGGTGTAATAATTATTACAAAAAAATGCGAAAGGTTGTGACTGTGCTTGGGTGACGTATGTTATTTAATTACGTCAAAACGGCTGCCAAAATCGGGATTAAATTTGGAACACGGATAGATTATAGTCTAGAATAACATATAGATTTACTACATACTTTTAATTCCACGAGAACACGGGCGAAGACGCTGGCAGAAGCTAGTAAATAAATATTCGATGGATTGAGGAAAAAGTTGTGAGCAAAACTGAAAACACAAATAACAACAATTAGGTCACATGTATGTACACACGGCTACACATCAAGCTTTACATTCCAGTATAAACTGAACGTTAAATGTGCGGAAAGATGATGTGACGCGATACCAGGATAAACTGGTTTTGTATAGATTGATGTTTGGCCGTGTGTACCTTCCCAACCTCTCTTTTCTAAGAAAAGCACAAAGTCTAGCTGGCGACTGTTTTTCTTTCAGAAAACAATATTAATTTATTAGCAAAGTTCATTAGTTAGTTCCAAGAGCATGTCCACAAAATAAATTGGCCTCACCGACCAAGTTTTTTCAAAGAACCCTGGTGTGTACTTCATTTAGTACTGCATTTCTGGTAACAACGAAATGTTTTTAGTACAAATTCATGATTCTTAGTACTATTTGTAGTAGCAGTATGACCTGAATACCTGAACTTTTTGGAAAGTTATTTTTAATGGTTGTTGTTTTCCTAGGAATTTAATTCAGGGACTGTGTCACAATGGGATAATGGCCCGTGCCAGATTGAATCAAGAACGTAATTTGTATTGACTATCTGATATACTATAACAGAAGTTTGCCGGGAACTTATAATATGTAGGTGATGAAGCAGTCGCTAAGCATGCCTATGCAATTGTAACTGTTAAGCTTAAAGTTATAGTTATAATTTTATAATTCTCAGATCGAACTAAGACATGTAATCAAATAATTTGTAATAGTTATTGCAGCAGTAAGAGGCTTGCCCCTTATAAAATGTCTTTGAAAAATAACAGGTCATATTGTCTTACTCCGAAAATCTCATCCAGTTAGGCAAAATAAGCATAATCACGACGTCTTGACTTACGTGGCAATGAATATTTATTTATTTCGCACTTCCTTTCAACAGCACCCATCTATTTACGGCCGACCGAGGATTACCAAACTTTGTTGTTAAAACCACCATAATAAATCAAAACAACTTTATTTCATTTCATAATTCGATCCATTATCAAATTTACAAAAAAGTTGGATAATAAACTTATTACTTTGTTAAATATTCAAAAGTTTACAGCGATAGCAATCAGAAAACGTATAGTACAAGTTATACAAGTATTTAAAATTTTCTTTAAAAGCACTAACTTGTACTTACGTAGTTAGTATCTACCTAAATAACATTTAAAATTTTCAAATTAAACTTTATCTCAAAGTTAGGAGCCCATATTTATGAGGCACATTAATTCTATTAGTCCAATTTTTTAATGAATTCATTCATCTCTGATTCTATTAAAATTTAAATAAAAAGTTACATTCATTTTTGCACTTAAATGAACATTACTTTTAATTAAGAAAATTAATTTGTTTTGCATAGGAATGTTTCTTAAACAACTGTATATTAAACTGGAAAAAGTTTAGATAATATCAGCGGGTCTTGTTAAGTAAGAAATTGAAGTACAT